TCGCATACAAATGTATTTGTTGGAATACACACAAGTTACAGAGTGTTCCTCAGAGCATTTAAGAACAGCCTGATTCTTTCCAGCGCTCATCCACTCAACACGTGGCCTCCAGCTGCTCGTCACGACTTCCAGCTGCCAGCGGTCAGACCGCCTGCCTCTGGATATCAACCAGCGCCGAGATATATGACGGCCAGACCCGACGCCGATGTTTTGGGATTTGCAGATGGACGGGACGGAATGGAACGGGGGGGTTAATAAATCAGCAGCGGATTTGAGAACAAAACAGTTCAAATACAATCGCACACGCTAGTAGACGCATACAGTCGGATATTGTTATTAAAAAAGAAACGGAATTCGCCAGTAAAGGTGTTGACAAAGAGACGCTCTAATCAGAGCTTTTGTGCTTGAATGATATCGGTGTAGTTTGAAAAGCTGTCCAAACAGAAGGTGCAACCGGCTCTGCTGGGGCTCAGCACAGGGAACACATGCATTACTCTTTACATGTCTTTAGCCCACTCGCATCAAAGACGCCTCTCCTTCCCTGTGCTGCATGTCGATGTTTGTCCTCCATCGAAGCCAAAGGCCTTGTATCTGGTTAAGAGAAAAGTTGGCCACTCGACTCGATGACACAGAACTTTGATCGTTGAAACTCACGTTGTGCTTTTGCTGTTTCACAATGCTGACAATGTGAAAAAAAGACTAAAGACCATGTGATGTAGAAATATCAATCCATAAGAACTATGGCCTCTCACTGGGATGTGCTGGGTGGTTACCAGGGAAATTATATAATTAGATGAAACTGTTTTGAATGAAACACATTTAAATCAAAGTCGTCAGAGATGGAAGTCGGGGTGGTGGACGGGTTGGACTCAGGACTTGTTCTGGTTCCTGGCTCCTGATTCAACTGGTTCCTCTGCCCCAGTTAAAAAGTGAAAGTTGGGTTATTTTAAACTCTTTACTGAAAGACAACTCCTTGCTTCTGAAATTTGCCGTTTTCCGTTCATCACGTCACAGTCTCCCATCTTTTTGCAATGTATCCCCATCTCCTCTCCTCCTCATCTTCCTTCTTCCTGGTGGCAGTATAGGCTTAGTAGCTCAGACCGCCTGCTCCCTTGCTACCTGTTCCAGCTGTTTCCTGAGGCCAGATGGGGTGTGGAACCCCTGGAGCAGGTTCTGGCTCAGCCTGGGAGACGTCTACAAAGAGGCATCCTGATGATCAAGTTTTTTACATTTTCCACCTGGATTGGCTGCTTCCCCACACGAAGGTGCTTTCAAGGTCCCTCCGGCGGTCTGGGTTCTCCACCTTCGCCCTTTCATGGAGGATGGATCTGATTTGTTCACAATAGGCCTGACACGAGTTGTAGGCAATCGTTGTCGGGCGCGTTCCTATTCACATCGTCCAGACTGGCATGAAGGTATTTCTGCATTTCGGCTGTCTGACTTCACTTGTGTGTTTTAGATCTGCTTTATAGTCCATTTTATTTGTTATTTATGCCAGTATTCCACTTCTGATGTGTTTTGCATTGTGCATTTCATGCTTTTACACCTTTACACGGATCCCTGGCACGGTTTGAATTTTCAGTGCATAAGAGTAGCTTCTTGGAGGAGATAGTAATCGAATCCCTCCACAATAACCACAGTATAATTATCCTCATTGCAGGAATACAGCCTCTCGGTGAGTCTTTGACCACAGAAAGCATCTTGAGAAACCTGTTCTCGACGCAGTTGGAGCGAGCGCACAACAACGTGAGCGTGCTTGTGACGGTAATAATATTTGGAGGGAGGCACGCAGTCATTGGCTGCATGAGCAGGTTATTAAACAGAGCTCCTTGGCAACAGAGCTGTTTTTTCATGACACAGCGGACGAGGAAGGGGAGCCGAGCGGCGTTTCCCAGTAAACGTTTACGTGTTCTTCTGAGGAACTCATTAGACATGGCAGACCCCTTTTGGCCCGCAGCGATCGGATCCGCTTAAGCACTCCTGTGAGCGCAGTGCATCGGGGGACCCCCGCTTGTAAAGACGTTAGCATGCTACGGATGTGCAGGTTGTGCAACCCAGTTTACAGATTGTTGGCTTAGCTCGCGTTTTAGTCGACAAAACCGAAGTCACAATGCAGGAAGTCAAACGAGGTTAATGTTTTTGGAGCGGAAAACATGGGGATTAAACCATGCCGGTTGTAATAATGGTGGATAATGTGTGGTTTAATTCAGAGCCCAGGTAATCATTTAGGCACACGGACTGATTTAATACGAAGACATTACCAGAGGTCCTTTAGAGGTCATTCACTATTTTTCACATTGATGTGTGTGTGCCAGTATTGGCTAAATGGCTAAATATCTATCGTCACTTGACCGGATGTCAGATGAACCATTACCTCTCCATTTCAAACTGCATGTATGTTTCTTTAGGCAACATGGGAGAATCCTAACAAGCTTTACACATAGGCACACTACATCTGTTACTGCTAAAGAAGCAAGCAAACGGTTGCCTTTGGATATCTGACAAACATGGAACACCATTAGCATTGATTTGGAAGCCCTTGTTAGTCTCCACGGACTGCTGAGAGAAATATTCCCTCGCTTCACTTGTTCCTGGGAAAGTCGGCGCGCAGTAGATTTATCCGAGTCATTTGCTATCGGATTTACTGCAGCTGTAAATGAAAAGGATGAAGGCGGTTTGGATGAACCCGAACAGCAATGAGCCGAATGTCGACAAAGAGCTCAGGTGACCTGCGGATGCAGGTGTTAATCCTCCGCGGGGTCGTCGGTGCAAGAGACACATTAGAAATAGACCTTGGTCAAAGTATCTTTGTGCAACGATATCGATAAATGCAGCTTTAAAGCCTTTGTTTGTATTTTTCACGACAGAAATGGAACATTAAAGAGGGTCGTTTTAGGGCATTTAAGAAAGAAAGAAGGTGTTAGAAGGAAACACGATCAAGTAAAAGCTAACCAGCGGCATTGTTTTGATGCGGATTAATTCTTTGATAATGACACAGCTGGTAACGAAAGCAATGTTTCTGGCAACGCCCCTTGACCTTTGTGATGACAACAATGGGGACAAAGTCTCTTTAGTGAACCTGAAACTGGTTCTTCTCACGTTACGAATAGCAGACGCAGCCCAGAATGTATGCAGGTCAGCCTGTGGGAGCAATAAATCCTGCGGAGTCTCATTCTTGTTGATAGACGTAGGACGAAAATGACGGTCGACGGTACAATGTGCAAAGTATTTTCTCCCATAGAAAGGTACAAACATGTTTGCAGAATGTGCTGCCAATGAAAAGCAGTTTTGAATAAGCAAATGTTATTTAAAAACACACTTTTTAGAGACTGTGGTTGGAAAAAACTAATTCTGCCCGCTATTGAGTCTTTATGAACTGAAATGAAGACTACGTCAAAACAAACTTTCCAAACCGTCTTTGAAATATTATGTTGTATTCCTGCAGTTATAGAGGGATCAAGGGTGTGGCTTGTGTACTGAACCATCATTAGGGCATAGAACATACAACATACAATGAATACTTGTAATTCAACAAGTACACAATGCAAGCATATGACGTCTGTAACACGAAGTCCTATTCTATAAGAGCATCAAATACATATTCCTTTTTCCCATTAAAAAAAAGTAAGACACGTAGAAGTCTGTACGCTCACCCAAAGGGTGAAGGTCTGAAGTGTTCCGAGCAGAAATAAAAGTAGACATTTGTCATTACAAAATACTTATTCAACACATTAATGTACATTATGGATGCTTAAGTGATGATTATCCACTCAGCTTGTTACCAACAACTGAGCCTCACAGAGAGCGACCCTGGATTAAACAATGAAGTGCTACAACCAGGTAAATGATTACATAATATATTACTTCATATTGTACATTTTTAATCCATAAAGGTTTTATTCTTGTAAAACTTTGAGCCTGGGATCTGAGATCCCAATTTAAAGTGTCAGCGGGGGAGCCACACTTGTGTGTGGGCATGTGCATGTTCAGCGGGCTGCATGCACAGCAGTGGAAGGACCCTGGAAGGTGGAAAACGTTGTGTTATTCATTTGATATGCAGTAAGTATACATCCATGAGTAGAACAAGACAGGTAGAACCAGAAACCAAAGGACAACTCGTGGTAGAAATAAAGGGCCTTTCATCTGATGTGTGCTGACTCAACCAGCAGAGGATGATTATTTATAAACTAAAGAGCGCCTCGTGATTAGATCACACCAAGAATGACGCCAAACCGGGCCGGCAGCGTACTTGCTACCCTTTACTTTGAGCGGCCTTTTATCTGGGAGCCCATCTATGATCTCGCCCTTTGACACTATCATGTGAACAAAATGTGTGAGAGACGGACTTACAGACACCCGGCAGAGGAATCCTCAATAACACCAGGTAGAGGTGAGGCAAAGAGGTTGGAGGAGCAGCTGCGTCAAAAAGGGGAAAGTGGTACGAATGTATGCACAGTATTTAGGACACTGGTTGATGCGAATGGATTGTCTGACATCAGCGGCATGTTTTTTAGGTCATCGCTGTCATCCAGTGGTGGACGGCAGAACTTCAGCGGCATAAAAAAACCAAACTGCACGCTGTACTGCTCTGACACATTAAGAGAGATGCTTTGATGTAACATCACATACAACACGATCGAATGCCCATCATGATGCACAGCAGGCGATACTCATTGGTCCAATGCTCTGTCCCTCATGCGCAGGTATGAGCTCTTCTCTGATTGGTCCAACTTGAGAGCAGATTGACTGAATAAGGCAGATCCTTATCACGTGTTTATATTCTGCTTGCTCTTTGTGATGATGATGATATCATTATCGTTGGCCCAAATCTCTGTTGGATCTGATGTAACAGAGACAGGAGGCCTTCCACGGTCATCATGGCTGGGTGCTGTTTAATACAGTGGGCAGATGTTTGGTTTGGTTGGATTTTTTTGAATCAGTACTCTCTTAAACGTTTTTGGGATCCGCTTCCACCACATTGTTCATCAAAACAAACAATCTGTTTATTTCACTCAACTTTATTTTCCTTTTCCTTCCTTTTGACGGCAGCCTACTTGTATGTGTGACATCGTGGACGTGCTTGGTTGACTTTGGACACATAGAATACTTCACATGTGATGCAGCTCAGCGTTAACGTTGGTTGTGTGTGTGTGTGTGTGTGTGTGTTCATGTGTGCCTACCATTTAGTGCATTGGAATGAACACGTGGATCATTGCATTTCTTTGTGCAACCATTGCTATCAGGTTGCAATGAGAATCAACGTGACACGTCACACATTAAACTTGCATATTGAATACCTTCCCACTTCACCCACTTTTCCCCCCTGAGAACCAATCACCATTCACATTCTTAGAGTAGTTGAAGTAAACAATCGTACGGAGGAGAAAAGGTGTATCGCTGTTGCGGGTCCAGGATGTGGAAGCTTTAAATCTTTGAGAATCTTTTGATATTAACGATGGCTCAAGCAGGAGGTGGTGTAGCACAACGGCTGTTAACAGTACCGCTTCAGCTCGCATACACAGTCCAGATCACAGTTTTCCTACGAAAAGTGCTACAGGATCTCTCAGGCGTATAAAGGAATGTTTTGAAAGGGTGTAAATAAACTAAATTGAAAATACATTTTTAGTCAATATCATGCAGTTGCATTCACTGCCATTTATACGGCACAAAAATACAGTACAAACTGATACAACTGAAACACACTGTGTTTCTTCGTGTGCTAAGTTAAAGGGAAAACCCACACTGAGTCCAAATTCACAAGTGCAATTCAAAAAATCTGCAACAGAGGAGAAAATCGAAGAAATGTTCTGAGAAAGGGATGCAGAGACTTGAGGGTGAACTGAATGCTCTCCACTCAGGTTATCCTGTCTAAAAATGAGCTTTATGAGCACTACGTTTGACCTTTTTAAAGCAGAGCTTTCCAATATGAATGGCAGAGTTGCTGTTGGAGCCTCATGACCCGTTCAACTGTCCACTGCCTGTGTGTCTCAAGATGACATCATCAGCAGAAACCGTCTCTCTGCTCTCCAAGAACAAATGTATCACCATTATAAACTGAGCTGTAAATCTATTAGAAATCAGTGTTAATTCAACATTTGGAATGGATTTTCCCCTTAGGACTGTTTTTTTTTTCAACCTGATACATCAAAGCTACTATTTCACAATATTTGATGGATCTGACATGCTGGTAAAATTCATGTTTTACATGAGAATCATCAGGAAGGCATATGGCTCTATCAGTACACCGTCTTTTCGTGTGCTATTCATTCTACACCAAAAGGCTAAGATGCTACTTTACAACCAGAATACATCCAGTCGGCTTTAGCGTCCCTACGTCCACTACAAGTTGAACACACAAATACACATCTTAGTGACGTCATCTTCATCGTTGACAAGACTCAAGAGCTTTCAGATAAACCAACAAATAGCACACATTTTTAAACTCACACTATTTGTCATCTGACTGTGTTACAGCATGCAAGCGTCAAACAACGTGCGCTTCCACTGGAGATCGCCGTCACTTTCACTCAGTGCAAAGAGGCGAAGGTGGCGCCCACGTGGCCCCCGGCCTGGGAGCCGGGGCCGGCGTCCGGAGAGGCGGGCGAAACGGGTCCGTCCAAGGACGGGTTGGGAACACGTTGAGCGGCCCGTTTGCTTTTCTTCGCCCGAGCCTTGGCGTGACGTGCTGGAGGGGAGCCAGCAGCGGGGCGGCGCCCACAGCTGGTGGGGAGCTCGGGGTCGGGGTTCACCGCCGGGCCCTTGTCCGGGCAGCTACGGGCCGAGTGAGGTTTCCCCTGAGGACACGAGGCGGACAGGAGCGGAGGGATAGTGGCCGACTCCAGCAGACCTTTAGTTCCCTGTGTGCACTGCAGAGGCACCAGAGAGAGGAAGGAAGGGAGGGAGATAAAAGAAGAGAAGTGATCAAAAGGATTGTGAAGATGAAAAGCGGGCAAATGGCTCATGCGGTACAGCTGCATGTGGATGCACATTGGACCTGTGGGAATCTGGTTTTGATAGTTTAGCCCAAGAACCAAATTGTTCTAGAGGAATTGATGTCATCATATCAACGTTATAATACTCAATGCACATCTTGCTTTCATATTCCTGGCAGCAACTGTGTTTACATTATTTATTTGTTGAAATGGAGCTGCACACGTACAGGTTACCATTTCCAACAAGGTGTTGGACTGATCAATGGGTTCTTCTGATCTTTTTCACAGAAAACATCTGCATGCTGCCGACGAAACCGAGATAAGAGCAGTGAAGTTATTCACTACAAGACCAAAACATTAGGCCGAAAGAAGCTAGAACGCTGCGCAGAGCTGCAAAAACTGTAGTTGGACGTCTTTCACACTTCACTCATAAGTGTATTGTTAAGAATAAAGTATTGAACAGTGCAGCTTTTGGCCTGATTTAAGTCTAAAACGTTCTGAGCCTTGAAGCTGTAAGTCACTCAAAGTGTTAATAATGGATAACCTTCAAGAGCATCAAGCCCTGAGGGGCATTTTTTATTCAAAACTAAAAACTACCAGTCCGCTATGCAAGCTAATATGTCCTTTTCCTCTCAAACTAAAAACAAAAAAAATCAATGTAACGCACCTTGTGTTTTTCCTCTCAATCACGGCTCAAACACGATTGAAGTAAACCAGAATATCGAGGTTGAAATAATGGAATATTTTCAGCCAAATCGAAACATCCGCATTCATTGTGAAGTGTTAAATGATGCACTCTGAAACGTATCCAACATGGCGGGGGATGGATGAAGCCATGCACACACAGTGGGTGGGAAGAGAACAGAAGAACTCTGCACTTTTCCTTTCGCTACCAAGCTGAAGAATCACTTTCCTGCACCAACAGGGACTGATCAGCAGAATCCAGATGGTTCTGCTCCTTGGGGGGGGGGGGGGCAGCACAGAGTAGACAAACGCTGTGTTTGTCAGGAGCTTTTCCTTGCCTTGGAAAATCTTCCGCTGTGCAGATTGGGTGGGTGGACAAAGGGGACACTGAAAAATGAGGACTCACAAATGATCAAATGCATTGGACAAAAATGCATGTTTTATTATTTTACATATCTGATACTGACAATATTAGAAACACGTTTAAAAACAAGATGGACAAATAAAACAGCAGGAAGGGAAACAACGTTGATTGACATGATGCGTCACAAATAATTTGCCACTTTGACAAATGACTTAACATGAGGCCGTTGAAAGAACAAACAGAATACAAAACCAGGAACTTTCTTCACAGCTCCACCAATGGCTATCAAACCAACTCTTATTCTGGTGTAAACAACAACAAAAAAACCCGTGTTGTAAACAAACCCTGAGGCCTCCTTTATGTCCCTCACTACCAGAGACAGCTTCACGCACCCTGAGTTGACAAATACTGCACATGAGAAAACACTGGAGGTGTAGCTTGTGATAAACAGCAGACAAACACAAATCATACGAGTGGAAAAGCATCCCTGACCGAATTTAAAAAAAAGAAAAAAAAGAATGGTCTGTGAGGTAAACGAGACGTAGCTTCTCAGAAGCATTAATACTGATGTGGGGATTAACTCATACACAACAGTCAACAACAGCTCCGCACAGATGCCGGGTTGGAGCTACATGAGGCAACAAGGCGTCGGTCAGGCGGAGGAGCAGTTTCGATGGGAGGAGGGGGGTGCAGGCACGGGAGAGATGGATTCCTGCAAGCCAAAAGCCAACTTTGAAGATTCTCCTACCACGCTTTTAGTGGCCAGGGTGGGCAGCTCAGTGTCCACAGCCGCCGTCTGCACGGATTCATCCGCGGGCAGGAACCCTCGTCTGTCAATCAAGCTAAAAGAAAAATACAGAAAGCAAGAACATTCCTCGTTTAGTCAGAAATACAAATTAACATATTTATGCAAATCACAGAGGCAAGCACAAAAAAGCTTTTTTTTTTTTTTTAAATGGTAGAAGAAAAAAAAAAAAAAGGATATTTACATACATTTCCAATACATCAATAAGATCTATTTGCTTGACTTTTTATTGCTTCAAGTAAGCAAATTTAATAAATGTATATTTATGACAACTTTTGTAAATATAATTTATTTTAAACTTCTTTCAGCTGGCCAATTCTGCAAATCCTGTCAATTGAAATTCTGTTTCATCAATTCATGTTGAATGCTAAACTTGAAACGGGGTCCCATACAATATCTATACAGATCTAAAAAATAAACAAGTGAAAAAAAGATAAAGAGTAAACCCCCATTAGGACTAACCTGGGTGGCATGGGTCCACAGAGCACAGAACAACAGTTGACAAAGATGTTTTTATGACTGTACGGGTTGGACACATCTTCTCCACTCTTCCCTGACCAGGAGCCTTTGATCTGGAACATGCAAGATTTCACAGCTTATATTTGATTTAATTACATTTTTGATCAATAATGTTCACAATTGTGTTAATACTGCATCAGAGCACACCAAAGGAACTTCCAACTGATTCAACAGAACGCATCACTCACATCTTCATTAGTGGTGAGGTTGGAAGAAACCAGGTATGTATGGAAGCCCGAGAGGCCCAAGATGGACCAGACTGAGAAGAAACATACCACCAGCTCCACTGCAGTGAAAGGTTGAGTCAAGGAGAGTATCCGTATTTTGGAGGGGGGGATAAATAAAAATCAGAAATCTTAAAAACACATTTGTGATTTAAGGATATCTGCCTGGACTCTCTTGCAGAGCGAACATGAGGCCTTTTCCACCTTGAGCCCCTGGAGGAGAGAGAAAGAAAAGTAAAAACACTGGCTTAAAGAGAGTTTCCACGGCCATTAAAGGAGGAAAATTTGTGCCAGAACCAATATAAAAAATGTATTCTATACGTTTTTCTCATCAGGCACCTAACCTGCTCTGATGTAATTAACCCCGCCCATCTGGCAGTCCACGTGAGCCAAACAAACGCCCACCGATACCGGGAGAGCCTGTTTGAGCCAGGTGTTTTAGCAATCACTATCAGTAAAAACGTGCAAACACATACTCAGCGCAAGATGTGTGGTCACACAGCCGAAGATGAACGCCGTCAGGAAGGAGAGCGACACGATGAAGGTGTAGAAGAAGCGGTAGTTGCGTTTTCCCACACAGTTCCCTACCCATGGGCAGTGATGGTCGAATCGCTCTGTGAGAGAAGCGCACCAAATGCATTTACTTCAAGAGTACTCCAACAAGTCCTGAGAAGTCAATATTCAAATGAATCAGGTTTGCAGTGAGTCTGTGAGACCTATTCATCAGGTGTACATGTCAGAGTGCTGGTGTGTGTGTCCACCGCTCACCCACACAGTTGTCACACAGGCTACAGTGGGAGGTGCGCGGAGGCCGGAACATCTTGCAGGTGAAGCAGTACTTGAGCTTCACCACTTGCTGGTTGATGAGGACTTCCTTGGTGCGTGGCGGAGGCCGATAGCTGGCGTTTCCAGTGTTGTCTGCAGAGGAGATGATGACAAGATCAAATCTGCTGTGAACATCCACTTCTTGACATGTGCTACAGTACTACAATACAGGCTTTTTAGTTTTCTTCCATTCCGTGAATGACCAACTTCTATTATGGAAAAAAAAGTTAAAAAAAATATTAGGCCGAAATTTTTTTTTAAGAAAAAGCCCAAATATGTTCGGTTGATGAATGACATGGGAAAATAGTCAAAACATATAAAGGGAAAAAATATTATGTCTCTATGTCATAGAAAGTAAGTCAAATATTAAGTGAAAAACAAGGCCAAGAATAAGTCCAAACATTTTTGGGGAAAAAAGTCAAATATTTGGTTGACTATTTGAGTAAAAATGTTATGTCGTTATTTCACAGAAAGAAACGTCAAATATTAAGTGAAAAGAAAAGTCAGGATGAAAGGTTTTTGGAAAGAAAAGTCCAAAAATAGATCAAAAAATGTTTTGAAAAAGTTATATTTTACATATTATATATATTGTATTTTTTATATTGAAATTAGATATTTTACATCTTAGAAAAATTGAAGGAAAAAAAAAATCAATGTTATGTCAAAATGTCACAGAAAGAAAGTAAAATATTAAGTTAAAAAAAGTTAGGCCAAATATTTTGGGTCAAAAATATGGAAAAAGATTTTTTTTTAAATATTTGTAAAAAAAGTCCAAATAGGTTAGGTCAAAAAATATAATTTTGTAACTGAATTTCGTTGCGAAGCAAAGTAAACCGCGTTGAAGCGCTTATGTGACAAAAATTGCCACACTGCGAACATGAATTATGAGTGGAGCTTAAACAGTTTGGGTTTAGGGATCACATTTCCTTCAGGACACAGTACTGGTGCAAAGGATTTAAACACACTGCCACAACCTTGCAGGAATAGAAATCTTTATATTAATATTTAACACACTGCAAAAGTCTTTCGTAGCAGTCAAAAGCAATTGAGTGTCGACCCCACGTATTACCAAGTTAGTCCTTACCAATCTGTTTTTCAATGTCTGCAGCCTCATCTGGAGTGGCCCTGGGCAGGATGCCAGGGTCAGTGAGGCTGGTCTGGAGCAAGGTGATGACCACAAACACAAAGAGGAGTCCCCCAATAACAGGTATGCAACTGGTCAGGTGTTTGACCAGGAAGGGACAGCTGTGATATGGAGCAGAGACAGATTGCATTACACTTCAGATTCACCAAATCAAAAGCCAGGAGACAAGGGCTGTTTTAGAACTTAACCTACTTTTTCCCCCACAAGGGAATCTTGTTTTAATTAACATTCAGGGTCTTTAATCACCATCTGAAATCCATGGAGATGTAACACACTATTCAGTATACTGAGGGTAAGATTTTTTTTTTTTTACATGCAAGCAGAATTTTATACCACAGTACATCTTGTACACATTGTAAGCCCAAGCGGAAATGCAAAGACTACATTATTCTAGTTTACCATTTTAGGTTGACTTGCCCTTTAGTAGAAAAATGGTTCTCCTCAAACATTAGTGACGACATGTCATGGATCAGCAGAACCTGCTCCACGGTTCGGCGCAGATCCAACACACCGGGCAGGATTAAAATCAATTAAAATATCCATTTAAACCGCTAGTTTTCCCCGCCGCTACAGCGCCGCGGAGGCTCACGTGCCGTCACATTCCACAACATCAAAACACGAACTCACTCAAATATAAAGAATAATCCACACGTGACGATAATGAGACCCAGCGTGAGGGGCAGGACGCCACTCTGACGGGCCACGATGATCCGCCCGTCGCAGTAGAAGCGATTCTTTCCGGGGAAAACTTGCCACTTTCTCCTCGGCGCCGTGGGCTCCTCTCCGCGGTCCCCGTGCGGTCCGCGGGGGGGCGGAGGGGGGTTCGGGGTGGCGGGCGGAAGCGCCTGCGGGTCGATTTGTTGATACTCGCAGTTTTTCATGGCTCACGGTGAAGTGTCGGCTGCTCGGTCCCAATTCGGTGAACCGGGGGCATTTGGGCATCACCGACCACCCCCGCCCCTCCTCCACCCCCTCCACCACCACAACCACCACCCCGTGCTCGAAGCGGCGGAATACGGCAAATGTTCAAGGGAGAAAGAGAGCGTATCCTGGGCATCTAGTTGTAATCAACCCAAAAGAGCCCATGCTCGAAATCACATGCCCGGTGCCGTTACTTTCCCGTGACTTATCACGTATTCCCCGGTAAGCCTCCAGAACGTCCTCGCTCGGACACAACTGGTCATCGTTAGCTTGTTAGCTTAGCCATTCAGACGAACGTTACTTCACACCAGCGCAGCCGAAACACAGTTACCCATTGTTAGCCTGTTAGCTCGCTCGTCCTGCACATTCTGGCAAAACCCCTTCCGGTAACCCCGAGAGGTCCTGCATGCATACAAAAAAAAATCAATACGAGCACTAAAATTGAAGTCTCCTGTCTGTGTTATCGCTCTCCCCTCAAAGACTCCCGACAGGCTCGCGAATGGAACCCGGTGCGCTGTCACAACCAGATGTTGTCAAACTTAACACAAAGGAAATGTGTTGTTTCCGGTTGATGTTCTTTCAAAATAAATGTAATATTTACGCACTCTTAGCGATGATGATCGCAATGACGTTCATACGAAATAATGAATTATTCAAATACTAATGTGTTTCTCCATAAATACCCACACATTCCTATCCGGGTGACTTTACAAGATAACAGGGCTTTTATTGCGAGATTTACGAGCCAATATTTGCATAGGTTTATTCTCGCACACCAACAACAGCATTATGTCTCAATCTATTAGAATGTATGTATTGGTTAAATGTGACTTACACTAAAAACCTATAATGCCTTATAATATGCTCGTATAACTGTAGGCTATAGTTATAGGTAATACGTAAATATTCTGGGAAAAATGGTTATAACGTTACGTCACTGTATGTGGGTCATTGTTTGTTTGAGTGACAAAATATTATTAAATCATTTCAGCCATTTTTTGTGTTAAAGTTAGTTTCTTGGGGGTAATTACATTAGTAAAATAATAACCGTTTTGAACCTTCTATGAATATGTCGAGTCATGGAAAGTGTCACAGGTTTATTAGGCTTCTTTCAATGTCACTGTGTACCTTTCACTTTAGTACGAGGTGTTCCGGGAGGTTAGATAGACCCTGAGATCCCGTCAAAATAAAAGCAGGGGTACGTTGATTTCTGTGTGTGTGTGTGTGTGGCACTGTTTCATGAAGTCCTATTTATAATACCACTCTCAAGAAGAGTGGTATTATACTACTACTTTCAGGCCGTGTTATCTTTGTAGATACCCTTAATAAATCGCAAGTAAAATAAATTTTACTTGCGTTTTATTTCGGTAAGTCACAACCGGAAGTCCAGTCTCCCGTTCAAGCTACCTGGGGCTTTTCCTCTACCTTGACGCTCAGGTACGGAGCAGGTAGAACAACTCGACTGAAACAGATAATTTCGAGCGGAGTTGACAATTTGGGACCTTCAAAAACGGATTTCAGCCGGACATGTGCGGCGTGAGGGGGCGAAGACGACAGTAATTCGGAAGTCAGTCGTTGGACGCACCGTGTAAACGGTGAGTAGGTGGTAACCGTGTAAAATTAGCTTTCGGCTAATGACTGGAAGGACAGCTTCTGTAAACATTAGCTCACGGAACGCCAAACGCGCTTTGAAGAAAACCACCAAGTTAAAGCTCTTTCGCGGTAAAGCACAAGCGACCTTTTCTCTAACTCGGCATCAATGCGACCCACAAACAGGTGCATGCAACAACAACAAAAAAAAACATGTTTTCACTGGTTTGCTGCTAAAGTGGCTGTAAGCGTGGCATTAAATTCCCCATTTTTTTATTGTTATTGTGTTGATTCACTGTCCCGGTGTAGCGATGGGTTTGAAATAAGCAGTACGCCTGTGGGTGTAGGCAATCATTCTCAATCTTTTCCCATAATATTTAAGTTTCTCCTCATTGAAGAGTTGCAATGTAACATACTTAGTTGACATTTCAGAAATCCCCCTTCCATCATACAGTGACTAGTTGATTTGACTACATACTCATCATGCAGAGAACCAGTCTGGTCACTTTACCTGCCACCTGGGGATATTAGTTTCACAATTGTTGAAATGCCCTCCGGCGGCCTTGAGGGACTTTAGTTTTTACAAGCTTTTGAAGTTTTCCCTCACTGTCTCACCTTGAAGTCATTTTCTCAATGGAACTCCTTTTCTCTCACGTTTGCACAGATTTCGTGGAGGAGGGGGGGGGGGTTGAGTCATGTCTGCCGGCGGTTCGAGGCACAGCTATAAGCACGGCACCGGACGGAGCAGCAGCCAGAGGTCGTCCTACGAGGAGCGCTGCGTTGACCCTGTGGAGGAGAGGCTCCCCACCCCGGAGCCAAAGTCGGAACACAAAGCTCACCTGAAAGATGCCAACGGGAAGGAGTCTGAAACCATCGGCTTCATCCCCGGCTCAGCCGACCCGTCTGCTGCGACGCACACTTGCAATCCCTGCTCTCCTCAAAGGAGCTGCAGGACCTTCGTGTGCAGCGTGCTCACCTGCGGCCTCTACGGGGTCTGCCGGCGTTCCGTTCTGGCGCCGTGCCTGGCGCCGGACGAGAGCTCCCCGGACCAACCGGAGACGGTGAGCCTCCGGTCGGCGGGCCCGGAAGACAACAAAGAGGACGACGGCACGGACTGGCTCGGGGACGTTTGCATCGACGGAGTCCGGGTCGACAGTGCGAGAGAGTATTTGGAGCTCGATGCTAAATCTCCATCGTACGTGCAGCCGAGCCGAACGCAGCCCAGCCACCCGTCCCTGCACGAGTCCATGAGGTTCGACGGGTGGGAGGACAGCGAGGAGAACGTGGACTCTCTGATCACCAAGAAGCTGCTGGAGCTCTACTCCGAGTACCAGATCGAGGAGTTGGCCCGGTGCACCTCTGACTCGGTGTTCCTGAGGAAGAGCAGGGCCATCGACCAGCTCATCAACTCGCTGGCGGAGGAGCACAAGATGGACGAGCAGGAGGCGGAATGTCGGCTGGTGCGCGGCATCATTCGCATCAGCACCAGGAAGAGCGCCAAGAGGAGGCCGCGCCCCTCCAGGAACGAGAGGACGCTTTCGGACAGCGGGAACGAGACGATGAGGGAGAGCGATTCCTTCTTGTTAAGCAACAACAGTGAGTTGCGGGTTTTCTCACGCCGCGAGTCCAAAAATCTGAATGTGCTTTCATACCATGAAGTAACCATCACTGTCTTTTAATCTGTTTTGATCAAGATGATTACAAATCAAATCCAAACATTCAAATATCCGATCTGACTTCCTCTGACAAGTGTGCCAGAGAGATGTGGCGAGCCAATGGAGGTAAGACATCTTTATTATGGACTAACAAACACAGTGTGCCGTTACATCCAAATACCTCAAACCGTTTTTAATGAAGATCGGATGTAACTCCAATAGTGTGTCCTTCACTTATTCTATTTACCGAAGCCGCATTAGAGGCTTTTAATAATGCACATTGTTCTTCGGCATAACTTGGCTATTGTAACAAGGGAAGTCCTTTGTGCGCACCAACAGTGGCCGTCCTAGCAATTATCCGGCAGCATACGCCTCAGTCTGTTTGCATCTGAAATTGCTCAACACCGGTTTGACTTCCTGATACATTTTTGTTCCGACTTTCAGCACCCAGCATTGTATTTAGATTTGTCATATTTAATAGAGTCATTTCAGTTACTGTAAACTCTTTGAGCCTAAAATGTCCCGTCAGTCCACAGCAAACAGAACTGGCCATGCGCCAGGTGGCTGAATCAAGAGACGAGGCCCAGGTTTTAGGCGCAGGGAACGCGAGGCCTTCCTCAAGCTCGAAGGCGCGATTGGCTCCTTTCGCTCTGTCACTGAGCAACAACGCGCACCTGAGTTTGGATTTCCCGTCGAGCAACATAAGACGTGTCGACGGTGTGTCCTTCGTGCGTTTATTTTTGGATTTGAAAGACGGATATTTTTTAAATACTGGAATCTAAAAAGCAGTAAATGACCAACAAGGCTACAAAAGAAATGATTTTATGTCCTGATCTTCTTCCAAGCTGACACTGCTGTGATTCGTTAATGTTTAGTGGGTCCTTCATGTCTGTTACAGAAATCAACTCCAGTAACATCACGTCGTAGAGCTGCACCAAAACAGAACTAACTACGTGAATCATTTTGCTCAGAGAAGTGAGAAAGAGATGAAAGACATATCTATATATATATATGGAAACAACAACGGACCTTATGCAAAATCATTTTTGTACTTCAACCCGCAGTTGGAATATTATACGCTGATGTTACTCTAGCAGGTGAAATGTGAAAGTTCCCCTGTGGCTCAGTCTGCCAAAAGCCGGGACTTAATTGCAATGAAATTAGTGTGAAGATTCTTAAAGGCGCCGTGTGTGAGTTATATTTTTGAACTCAAAGTTTTCATTTAAGCCTTTGCTGATAAGACACAATTATTTGTTATATTTTTAAGCATTGTCACATCCATTTGCTAATTGTGACTAGGTGATGACTACCTGCGGGGCCCACGGGGCCCGAGGCTCTCAAGTCCGCAAGTGCGGTGAAATTTGATCTTTTGCTTTTTGCCCCCCGCTGCTTTTCCCCGTGCCGTCCCACGACCCGTCGATAAGCGGAATAGTTCCAAACCGCTGGCAGGAATGTGTGCCGGGCGGCTTGGGTGCGTCCTCATGCACGTAGCACAAACAAACAAACAAACAAACAAACAAACCTGGGGCCCCCCAGGTAGAAGCGTAAAACCGCTTCCGATTTCACACGGTATCTTGTAAGTAAAGCAAGGCAGACTATCGGCGGGCCGAGAGCGTGAAAAAGTGCGTGCTGTTATTTCACCAACCTCACTGTACCCCGACTGTGAAAGCACATCTAGCCGCTGTGAATAATATGGGAGGCAGTTTGCAGAACTGAAGCTGAAACACAAGTCTTTTGTTTATCTATTTTTTTATTCATCCTTTACAGGTCATACTTCCAGTTCTCCAACGGCCTACTCGCCTTCTCGCGCCGAGACCACGTCTTCGGGCGTCCCGCTAAGTTGCACCTCTGTGAGGACGTGAGGACAAAGGATGCGATTGGCCCGGCTGTCTGCACGAGGACGCGTTGAAACGTGACGCGGCGGAGCGGAATGAAAATGTGAATATCCACATTGTCGGAAGGACGTCAGTGAACTCGGGGCTCTCTCTCCCTCTCTGTGTGTAGATGTTTGGATCTTACGTGCGTGTTTGAAGGATTCCTTGGTGGAGCTTTTATTGAGTCAAAGCGTCCCGTCGTCCTTGAAGGAGAGTTTGTCCATTATAGCTGACTCGTTTTGGCTGTTCTTAAGCAACGTTTATTTAGTTCTGTAAGTTGTGTGAATATACATGTATTTCTTTTACAAATTTCCTCATCTTGTCTTAAATTTTGTTTTTAAATAATTTGTGTAATTTTAAAATCGATTCAATGTTTTCAATCCAGTGGTTGTGTATCTCACATTCCCACTCAGTGACTCCAGATGAACGACTGAATGGTCTCCTGGAGTTTTTATCATGATGGAACATGCGCGGTGTGGCCACGGCGTGAATGGATGAAGTAATATTATCGAGCAGGAAGAAGAGGTTTAATGGCTTAAATATTTTAATTCTAATATTAATGGATTTATGTGGTTGCCCGATGGTACAGTAGAAGAAATTACAAGCCACAGCTTAGCATTTAAACTACAGGTAGCTAGCCTGGTTCTATCCGGCGTTTCTCCTCACGCACCAGATTATTCCTTGGATACGATGTGACATTCTTACAGTTTTTTTTTGGTCCGTATTCATCAGAGATAAGACACAACCTGTTAATAAGGGCGCTCCAGAGATTGTGGTTGGAGTGTTTTGTTATCTTTGGACCGAGCCAGGCTCGCTGTTTAGCACAGTTTCAGACCTAATGCTAAGCTAAGCTATCTGGCTTTAGGCTCCATACTGGCTGTACACATATGAAAGTGGTCTCCCCTTTGCCAAGTAAATATTTGTTTTCTTCCCCCAACGAGAGAAAATATATTGTGAAAATGTTTGCTAGTGTGAGGTTCATGACATTCATGTAGCGTGGGGCCTGTTTTTCTTTACTTAAAGCAGGTTGTTTGTAGTGTAACAAATATATAAAGTGTGTGATTGTGAAAAAGCTGGTGTTTGCTGCAGCTATAGCCTCATGTTGTGTACTAGAATGATAATGTCATAAATGTGACTCAACGAGTGAAGGGCTCTGATGGGAATCCTGCCAGATGACTCAGTGGAATTTATTCAGCGCCGAGGAATTCTTATCATTATTGGCTTGTCTTCGCTTTGTAATACCTCCCAGTGAACATACACGGGACGCCAATCCACATGTTTTAAGTGTGTGTTTTAACTGTCCAGATTACACTACTGCCTCCCAGGATCCATCCTCTTGTGCCCCATTTCAATGGTAATTATGAGGACATGTGTTTGCGACAGATAATCGAGGTCAGGAACTTACAGCATCAGCGCAGTCATAATGAAATGGTGGGAAACTGGTTGTTCAGGTTGTGACCAAGAAGCAGAAAATGCTAAAAAGAAACAATCATCCTTTACCTGATTTGTTGCTTTACATGTAATAAAGTGAAATAAAAAGAAGAGATTGTTTGTTGGTCTTTTGTCACACGCGGCCACACAAGGGAGTCAAAGCACCCTTCTTTTTTGAGTTTGTGTCATAACACCTTTTATGTTCCGCCTCCAGAAGGAGACCTGATCATTTATTCATAAAGTTTGATACACGCTTTCACAGAGGTCACGCTGTTCTCAAACGTTATGGAGAAAGTAATAAAATGTTTATTCAACGGGCCTCTTCAACCCTAACCCCAAAAATGACTTCCAACAACACTTAACCCCATTACGGCTTTCTCACTGGGATCAACATCTCCGTTAATAGATGTAACATCTACATCTAACATCTCACAGTCTGAATGGTGGAGGCTGCTGGAAGGACGTGACTTGACTTCTTGAAGAGGGCCCCAATGAACAACATTGTCATTCAGGTGGCGATTCGTGCTCCCACTCAAGATGTCATGAAGGATCAAGTGTGAGGAGGCTGATCCCGGTAACCCGAGCAGAAGTGGTACGGTCATTTTCTCCAGGGGGAACATCGAGTAGGAAAAAGTATACGCAGGGTGACTCCAGCGCACTTCACCTGCTCGGGCTCGATGGTGCTCATCCGGGATGTGGCGTCCTCAGCCTGGACGCTGCTTTTTAATGTCTCTGCATTCACGGGGGGGAAAAAAGTGACCCTGAAGTTGTCATGCAGACGGTTAGGTTTTCTCCAAGCGGCGTCAATAAGGATTGTTAAACTCTGCAGCTGAACGGTGAAGGGAAATACAAAAGCTGCTGGGGGTGGAGAATGACATTTATCATGTTTACTTCAGCCATTAACTCTGCCTGTAGCCGTCTATCAAGGACTAATGGGGTCAACGTCTGATCTATGTCCCAGTCGCACCCTGAACGGCACCAAAGGGTTGAACAGGTTTTGTAAATAACAACTCTAGATGCTAAAATCTGGACCACAGATACAGCCGTGAACTTTAGTCTAGTACCAACTATGGATATCGCCTCTACTTACTATGTGTACTCTATAATAATACTAATCGTCAGTGAAGATACTTTTTATAATTTATGACAAGTGGCTTATTCTTTCACATAAACATTAAACTGGTGGAAACGGTATAGCTGCCTTTATCGATGGTATCCACAATTGTAATTTAGGCTAGAAGATGTGATTTATACAAAATTTTAACTAAAGATTTTTTTGGAAAGCAGTCTACTTATTACTTGTGAAGCCTTTAAAGAAGCCTACAAGTGTCCATGATATCTTTAATTATAATCTTTTTTTTCCTATGCTACTTTAACTATTTTTCATTACACTATGTTTTTGACTTCACGAGGGCATACGTCCATTAATACAACAACAATAATATTTTGCATTTAAAATTATAATGACTAGTCGAAAAGGAAATACTATTAAATAGCTTATTCTCTAGAATATTCTCTGCGCACGCCCCAATCGCTCCTGAACCACTACTCTTACTTAATTGGATGCTTTGGTTGACATTTCAAATCCATCCTCCCCATTGGACAGATTTTCCGTAGGCGGGGTTTGTTTCCAGGAAGTGAATTGTGTCACCAGTGACTACGGGCCTAACTCAACTTTTTGCTCGTCATTCGGGCAGCTAACATTGTATTCAAACGTTTCTTAATCTGCAAACATGGGTGACGATGAAGAGAAGTATGACGGCATGTTGCTTGTTATGGCGCAACAACACGAAGGAGGGATACAAGAGGTAAGTTCATGTGTCGCTAACGTGTGAAAGCCTCCGTGTAAATATCGAAGCTAACGTTAGTTAGCCTGTAAGCTAGGAGTTACCGTTAAGAAGTCTCATTCTGAAAAATCGACCATATACAATATATACATATACAGGTTGAGGTAAAGGTGTTCATCACTATTGATAGACTATCCTGCTGGACACACATCACTATACTTCTTGCAATCAATCAATCAATGTAACTTGTTAGTGTTGAATGTGGCATACACGTGGCTTACAAGGTAGCACAGAACACCGGTTCGATTGAAATGTTTTTTTTTTTATTATAACACCTTTTCCTGGAGATTTGGTTTCCTGAAAATTGTCGGCAATTTAGCGGTGAGATGCGGCCCTCTGTGTGGACGGAGACAAACGTATTTTTCGAAACGAATCGATATTTGCCTTAACAATACTCATTCAGAATAATGTCACGAGACTTTGGAGGATGTGAAGAATCGTTTTATGTTAAATAAAAACGTTGAGCTGATCCGTATATGTGGATTATCGTATAAGCCAGTTATGTCAAGAACTCTCAAGCACAAATGACTCATGATAAATTATATATTTCCTATTTAGTGACCTCCTATTTTTTTCCTCTCTCCACAGTTGGTAAATACGTTTTTCAGCTTCCTGCGCCGCAAAACGGATTTCTTCACCGGCGGAGAAGCAGGTGCTGCAGAGAAGGTGAGCACTGTGAATACACCAGCGGCCCATGTGACCCGTGATGCGACACGCTGTGTCTCCACGTCAGGACTCGTGCATCATGTCCCTTCGTCTCTTTCCTGCAGCTGGTGAAGGAAGCTCTCGCCCACCACAGTCAGCTGGCGCTCAAGTCCCACAAAGAGAAGCAGACCAAACAGGAGAAGGAAAAGAAAGAGAAGGCCGAGAGAGCTGCCAAGCTGGCGGAGGACAATAAGAAAAAGAAGAATGAAGATGGCCCCAAAATTCAGGAGCTGACCGACGAAGAGGCGGAGAAGCTTCAGTCCGAACTTGACAAGGTGAATTCTGTGAGCCTTTCGTGCTCCGTCACTTGCATGAATGAATTATTGATTGGTGTTCTGTGTCATTTATAAAAAAAAGAAAGAAGAGGAGAAAAAGAAGAACGACACATCGAATGCAGAAAAGCCATCGGACAAAGTAGACAAAGAGAAGGGGGTGAGTGGAGCGTTGGTTAAAGGGTCCTGGCCCGTTGGTTAGGTCTGTTTCTACCGACGTACTTTCTCTTCCCCCAGACTGACTCGGAAGGAGAAGAAGATGAGAAGGACAAAGATAAACTGAAGCCCAACGCAGAAAACGGAGCTGACCTGCCGAACTACAGGTGGACGCAGTCGCTGTCTGAGGTTGATGTGAGTGTTTTCAGACTGATGCCGTGACTCCTTTCTGCTGAACGTTGTCCGCGTCACCAGCTCGCCTTCCCCAAGCTCCTCGCAGAGCCAGTATAGTGGTCATTTTTACCAAATTACCCATGCGGTGTCCCTCAACACGTCCCCTGCGTGAATGCCGGGTCCAGTGTGTGTTTGGTTTGCTATCGTAGTTTAGATTTCCGTAGTTTGAGCAGAATCTAACGGTGTACGTTGACATCCTCCCCCCTCAGCTGTCCGTGCCTTTCGATGTGAAGTTCCGCATTAAGGGGAGAGACGTCGTGGTGGACATCCAGCGACGCTCTATCAAAGTCGGCCTGAAGGGACACCCCCCTGTCATCGAAGGCGAGCTCTACAACGAGGTGAAGGTGGAAGAAAGCTCCTGGCTCATTGACGATGGCAAGATGGTTACGGTCCACTTGGAAAAGGTAAGAACAAAAGATCTTAGAATATACTTTTTTCACCCGATGAAACATGAGAGCAGAGGATATTATGGCGATGCTCGGCTAAATCTTTTTTTTTTTTTTTTTTTTCACGCCGACTGTTTGAAAGGAGCCTCGAACCATTGGTTTATTATAACCACGTATCCTGTTTCTCCTCATCAGTGACTAATTGAACAAAATAACCATTGAGTCGTTAAGCCCGATCATATTGATTTCATTTCAGATTAATAAAATGGAGTGGTGGAGCAAGATTGTCACCACAGATCCAGAAATCAACACCAAGAAAGTCTGTCCAGAAAACTCAAAGGTAACAGATGTTTTTTCCCTCCCTCCTCCACATAAGGAGTAATAACTTCTTGCCTCGTCCTAACCGTGCGCTTCTCCCGCCGAGCAGCTGTCAGACCTGGACGGAGAGACGCGCGGCATGGTGGAGAAGATGATGTACGACCAGAGGCAGAAATCGATGGGGCTGCCTACGTCCGAAGAGCAGAAGAAGCAGGACATTCTTAAAAAGTGAGTTTGCGCAGTGGTTGGTCAGAAGAGACCGGTTCATCGATTTGTCGACCGTCTCGTCAACCTCGGGCTACTTTCGTTCAAACCAGACGACCAAATCTGCGTTTAAAACTTCCCTCTGAAGATTATTTACATTGTCAAAGGGTTACAGTTCTACGGTAATCAGGGGAGCTGTTTTCAGTTGTTTTATTATATCCTTTCCTTTGTTTTATGCCTTTTTTAAAGTATGAGGTCAACAACAACTTCAAATGTGATTTCTTTCAAAGGATAGACTGAAAGCATCATGTTCTGTCTCTGCAGGTTCATGTCCCAACACCCAGAGATGGATTTCTCTAAAGCCAAATTCAGCTGAGACTCTGTGGAATCCGCATGGAGACTCGTGTGCATCGTATCGGAACCGAAATATCAGGAACCATCTGCTCTTCTCTTCTCTCTGTGACTCGTGTGAAGTGAATCACTGGGACCTTCGCTGAGGTCGACGAATGAACGGCCCTCGTTCTACCTTCTGCATGTTGTCTCAATATTTAAAGATGTGTCTTTCTGTCTTTTTTTTTAATAAAGGAATTTAAGTGATGTGAAGATTGAAGAGTGATGAGTATTTTTTTGTTTGTGAAAATTCATTTGAATTCTCAGTTACAAAGACAACCTGGCAGGTTGTTACAAGGCATTAAAAAATAGATCCAGCTGGTGGAATAATCCACACTTAAAACATAAACGCAGTATATATACACTAACAGATGTGTATGCGCTGTTCCAACAGCGTCAGAAACTCCTTAGTAATGTGCTACTAAAGAAGGATAACAGAGCTACCCTGATAGTTTAGAGCAGCGCGGAATCGAACATCACTACAAGCCTTTTCCAGGCTCACTTGTGTTGTTACTGGCTTTGAATTTGTTAGTTCACACCCTTGAGTTTAAGGCCAAGACTGCTGATCTTCAACTTCCCGCTGAGGCAATGAACTCTGATGCCCTCCGAAGGCTACTGGCCCACTAAGAGCAGGTTCTCCAAGAGTTGTCCCTTAAGTTCACTGCATAGTACTTGAAGTCCTGATGTGGAGGGCACACATTTCTAACTGAGAACAAAACACAAAATTAATTTTCAGTCTGTTTATGTTAAGCTTCCTGTTTAGATCACGTCAAAAACCCGCTGTGCACATGGAACGACTTCTGATTTTGAGCCACAAGGGAGCAGCATCGTCCTTAAAGTGTGAAGAGAGTTTGTGTACAGCTTCCTGCTGGGATGAGCTTCCTGAGGACGTTAAGCTTTAAACAACTTATCACACATAATGTAGGATCCACAACATCTGTTAACACACTTTAATGTATAAAAAAAGGTGGATTTTAAGTGTGTGACATGAAGTAAAATAAAAAAATTTTTACTGTTATGTCGAACCAGAATGAACACAGATGCAGTTTGATGCCGTCATGCCAACATCTCGTCTGTCCGAGTCCTTTTTTTAGTAAACTAATTATTTTATGCTTTTTCCCCATCGTAAATGACCCTCCACGTGTGCCCATGTTTTTTTTGGTGGCGGGGGGGGGCACAATGTAAATCTCTTTTGCATGATTCTCTGCAGAGCCACTTGTTGATGCGATGGACAACATCGTACGCTGAACTCTTCCTCATGGCGCCTGAACGCTTTTTTGGATAATCAGCGTTCCGGCCTCTCGCTCGGGCCGCGCTGGATGTCATGCTGCTCTGCCAAGTGTTACTTCAGCGAGGACCAGTTTGCTTACACGTCCTCTGTGCTCGTGTGACCGTCCACCTCCAGCTGGACCGGCCTGTCAGGCTGGTGAGAGGCCGTCACCACCGCCGTGCTGACCGGAGGAAACATACATTAGCTTATGCCGGCTAGCAAGTCTTCCTAATGTGTGAAATTGCTCATGTAGTTCAAAAACACTCCTCGGACATCTGTGTCATTGGGACAGGGTTTCTTTTTTTGCAAACGTTTTGTTTGCTATTAGGGAGTGTATGACATCTTTTCGTGTGAATACACTTTTTTTTATACCAATATATATATATACATACATATTTGAGAATGAGTGTAAAATGGAGTTGGAGTTTTCAACCATAATTAGAATTTTTACGAGGGTGAAATTAATGCTTTTTCAGACTCAGAAAAAAATACATATTTATTAAAAAAAATAAAATAATAAATGATATTTGTATAATAATATATATATAATATGATAACATAAATGTTTAGTTTTTCTTTTCCGTATTCCCTATTCCTTCCGCAATCTTGTGAAAGCTGACATTTATTTATTTATTTTATTTTCGCTGCACTTGGAGGGTTGTAAACACCAGGTCGGACCCCAGTGATTGAAATGAATATACGGACATTTTCTTGTTTAAAAATTCTGGCTTGAGTTGTCGTAAAATGTAATTTTTGAAGATGTTTTTCCCCTCTCTGACTATACCAAGCGGCTGCCTCCATTACACTACCCAAAATGCAACTCGTCTGACTTCTAGGAGGAAAGAGGACAGATTGAGACGCTACGTTGCGTTAGCCTGGCAAGCTAACAAAACACTGATGGGTTGTGATAAGTTCAAATTGGGGGAATAACTCCATCAACTGCAAGGGAGGGGACGCCCGGGGCCTGGTGGGCGGGGCGGCCGTAGGACGGTGCAGGGGTCGAGGGCACGGAGGAGGCCGGGTCTGCTCAGCTGAGAGCAATGTCTCACCAAGGTACCAGAATTTCTTCATTAACGAAGACACACAGACATCAGAGGGACGGGGTTCGGCCTTCGGGGCGGACGAGGGGGCGGTCTGCAAACACACCTCCCCGCGGGCCGCTGCGCCGACTCGCTGTTCCAGACATGACAACCTGTTTTTTGGCCAGCGGCCCCTCGTAAATCATCCGCAAAAGCCCCGCACGATGTGAATCAGCGTCATCATGGCGATGTTTGCGGAGGTCTGCTTCGCCCCTTCGGTCGTCTTCCGTAAAGGCTGCTCGGTTCCTGGAAGCGTCTTCCTGACTCAACAAGTCTCCAATTCTTTCTTCTATTTTTCATTTATGTCTTAAATAAACTCAATTTGTCATCAAAAAACGATGGAAAATGGAGGTTTTGGTTTGTTTTCCGTCGCACTACTGCTTTGCTACGACTGAAACTAATAACTACAATAAGGCGTCAGTGACCCGACCCAACATCTGCATCTGTCCTCCGCACCTGGGTGCCGGGCACACTCGGTAAAGCGTATTTGGAACACACACACTTCCAGGGGTGGAGAGGAGGCCAGTGTGCAAAGTCAAACTCCAATTGTCAATTAGCGAAGGCCAACACAGGCTGCAGGCTGCGGCGTGCAGAGCGGATCAGCCATCTTGGAGAACAAAGGTTTCAGTGAGCTCAGGGTCCTCAGATCAACACACTCTCACACACACACACACACACACTGTGTAAGTTAGAGGGAAAAGATGCTCTGGGCCCAGCAGGACCTGTTTATCGCTCCAGACTGAGCAAAGACCATCAGCAAACATCCTCCCCGTTAAGTCTGGACAAGTGCTCATAAACAGGTTTGCATCAACACACACACACACACACACTCTCTTTTATACTGTTGTATTCTAAATGTGATAAAAGTTATTCCACTTTCAAACTCACATTCTATGAGAAATAGCTCAATAGCGTACTCACCATACTTTATGTTGCAGAGATTGTAGACACACCAGCATGACACACTCATGTACGTCGAACAACTACATCACATTTGGGAAATGCAGATTAAGACAAATAAATTAGATTAGTGTGCAGTTCTCTATAAAATACACATTTGCAACTATACAAAATAATAACAAATCAGTTTTTTTCTCACGTCGTGTCATTCCTACACTACCCACAATGCAACTTGACTGTCAAAAAGTGAACACAAAGTGCTTTAAACCAGCTGCTAGAAACACCATTTCTAAACAAAAAACCTATTTGCCTTTTTTTAATACCACATATAAAAATTCATTTAGAGGGGAAGTTACTTTCACCGTTTGTCATACAAACATGTGCTGCTATTATATACATTAAAACTGCCCGTGTGAACTTATCCTCCACCAATTACAACATTTAGGAGGTGCTTTAACACCAAAACACCTGTTAAAAATAAACATGTCTTAAATATATTTATTAAACAATCAAAAATCTGCAAAAAACATAAGATGGCATAATAACATTAATAACGAAGGAAATTATTGTGCAAGAAATTGCTCGTAGATTGAAAAGAAGAATACAAAAAAAAAACATAATGTGTATAAAAAGTAATAATAATAATATTTAGTTTTGATACTTAAATACTTCTAATCAAAAATAGAAAAAAAACTAAATTTAAAACATGTGAACTAATACTATCACCAATATAATAGTAACTGATATTGAAAAGTAAATGTTATATTGCACATTTTGCCATGATCAAAAAGTATGTAAAAGTATTTGTAGCCTTTGATACTAAAAAATATTTAGAACACGGGTTGTATACCACCGCTAAGAAGGACTTTTACCTTCTTCCATAAAGAAATCAAATACACCCAAGTTTACTCTGCGTATCTGGATGGATACCCACGCGTCACATCCGTATCTCATTTGACAGTTTGAACGAGGCAGCTCGTGTGCTTTTGTTCGAGTCGACGGCGACGGCAGTCGGGTGGAGGTTTCCAGAGATGCCGGCGGCGTTTCATGAGGAGACCTTTGCTCCGCTGCCAGCTGCAGGTCACATTGCTGCTTCATTGCTGTTTGCCCGTGGCCCCGTGACCCCCCCCCAGCATTCATTTGCACCTCGGTGAGGACCACTCCATCATCTGCTCGGGGGCCGAGCCTCTGTGGGCCCGACACACACACACACACATCACACCGCTGACATCATGAGTGCGGGCCTCAGGTATGAGCCACGGAGTACTGGAACTGTTTATTTTGGATATTTGTTTTTTGGTGTTTCTCTTCACAATCGTGGTCATTGCTGTATAAGCTGATTTGTAATATTAATATAATGTATTCAACAAAAAAAATGCACTACAAACACAGCATGTTTGTTTTGGTACATTTTAACACCACCTGCTTAAACTGCAACCTGCTACTGTAAAATAAAAACGTTTTTCTCCCCAAGCATCACATCAAGACCAAAGGTATTCAATTTTTCCCAGATTTGTCTTCATTAAACCTTTACACATTGTTTGACTCCATTCATATTAGTAACATAGAATAAAGTATGACATTATAAGTCTTAAAAGTGGAGTTGTGCAGAGTAGAGTTTTGTTTGAATCCACTATGCTGCAGCTAACACAGCAAGGCCCAGCTCAGTGTAACAGATACGTTAATGTACACACCGCAGCTTATTATATTCAACCCCAGGTGTTGGCATTTTGGATTTGTATTCAATACCTTTTGACTTTCCTCACATGCAGATCTGAATGTGTTAGCCGTATGTCGCACCATAACGCAGATTGTCACAGAAGGGTGCCAGCGATGAAAACGTACCCCGACGGATTTCTTAAACTGGACACTTCTCCATCGCCCCGTCACTTCGGGCACATGTCAGCGAAGGAGCGTTCCCTTAGCGGGAGCTGTTATTTAAAGTAAGCGTGTTACCGCAGGGCCAAAAGTTTGATGAGTCACGTGAGAGTTGCAACTCAAGTCTAAACTCCAGGCCTCCAAATGAGAATTAAAGAAAGGTAAATTGATGTTTTTCTTCTTGACTAAACAACGGTGATTATATTAGTTAAGTGTTAATGTATATGGTGTTTTATGCTCTTTTTTTTCCTGTGTGCATCAATGGCCTTGTGTCAAGAAAATATCTTTCAGTTAAAGTGCTTAAGAATTAAACAATACATTGCTTGAGTCCTTCCAGATTTTTTTACAAGGTATCCAATAAACAGACAGAATTTGAGAAAACGCACATTTTTAATTTATTATTAAATGACATAAATAAGACTCACAGTGAGTTCAAATACAAATAGATAGTTATGTACACGTGTCTGTGCAGAGGGGGGGGGGGGGGTCTTGACAAAACCCCGCCGGGATGCAGAAGGCACTTGTGTCTCTCAGTCCGAACGTGGAACATTTATTGCAATCAGAAAAGGGACATTTATATGGAAAACACTGGACGTTAATTTATTCTATTTACACACATATACACGTTGATGTTAGCAGAACCATTTTTCATCTTATATATTTAAGAATAAAAACATAATATAAAGGATTACTTAGTTGAGTTTGGTTGTATAATAAACATGTTATAAATGTGTAATAAGCATGTTGGGAATTTGCTAAGAGCAGAGTTCTGATCATGCAGCTATTCTAAGGTCTGTATACAATGATATTGTTCATCATGGACAGAGATTGTCTTTCAAGTTCTGTCTTTGGACATCGACTGCTCAGTATGACTCCAGCCTGTAACGCAACTTGGCTATGGAATGACTAATCAAACGAAGAACAGATCCTTGACGATGTCACGTGTCATCTTCTCCATGGCTTCTCGCTTGTGTCTTTAGTCCCGCTTATCAAAGCCTCTCGGCTCAGTAGCTCTGAGCCACAGGCGCCCAGGACGCGGTCAGCCTGGCGATGGAGCTCTCGAACTGGGCCTCGCCGACCCCGACCTCGCCCAGGCCGGGGTCGTACATGGAGGAAGGCGAGGAGACGGGCAGCGAGGAGGTCAAGCCTGTGTATGAGGAGCCCCTCAGGAACTGGGAGGTCAAACCTCCGGAGATGGAGCCGGAGGCCGAGCCTGAAGGGGTGAGGGTGGTGCCGGCTACCGACCATAGGCTTGGGTACTGACTGTGGGAGAGACGGACGAGAGGGTTCTGTTATTAAGATGGCACTTGCTGGCACTTATAGGAGCCCAGAACGTCATCGAGTGTCCCAGACACCGAACCGCGTCAAGTATTAAACACAAAGACAAAACTACAAACAATAAAAGTGCGTTCATGCTGATGCTATACTTTTTTTTCATTGAAAATACAGCAATTCTGTAGCCATTTCTTCACCTTTCTGGATGCAAAATGCACGGCTGGCGTTGAACTCCGTGTGGGTTACGGGGCTTACCTGGAATTGGATGTGGAGTTGGTGGTGTGGGACAGGGTGCCCATGCCCGTGGAGTTGGGGATCTGAAGAGAAGACCAGCTGTCGTGAGAGGGCAGAGTCCCTGAAGTGTTGTCCATGTAGTTGTCTGGAAACAAGGCGCGGACCGCAAGTTAAACTCAGGAATCGAACAAGCCAATCGGGCCGCGGCACATCCGGGTAAAAGGCGCGACTGGGTGAAAGGCGAGGAGGATGGCCCTGGTGGGGGTCTTACTTGTGCTGGAGGTGCGGTGGGGGTAGTGGCTGGGGTACGGGGCCGCTCTGTGGCTCCTCAGGCTGGAGTAGCGCTCGCAGTAGGAGCCGGAGGAGTGGCCCGCTGAGCCACTGAACTGAGGGGGGCTGCTGCTGGGGCAGATGGGACTCTGGCCCGGGAGGAACCAACCTCCAACTGTGGAAATGAAACCGAATCAAGTCAAACAACAAACAAAACAAAAAAACACAGACCGCTGTGCGATAATGTGCGCCATAGTTGACCGTTGTTTAATTTGCGTATTCAGGCGAGTCTAAATAATGGAAACTCACGCTGAGAGTAGCCGGACTGTTGGCTGTCTGCGCTGTGATCGGGGATGTCTTTGTGGTCACTCCTGTAATCAATAACAGCAATATTAGATACCAAGCAGTCAGTGCACTACCTTTGAGCATTTGATGTTGGGTTTTAAGCCGTCACCTTTCTTTGGCATCCAAGAAGGCTTTGGCAAAGGGATTGTGCTTTATCTTCAGAGCGGTAATCTGCGAGGAGGACACGGCAGCTGTGAGAATTTTTCGATCAATATTCAAGACAGTCGTTGATGTGGTTTCATTCAGCTGACCTCTTCGTTCTGGTAAGCAGTGACTGCGATGAACTGGGTTTCGGGGAAGGACTGGCTGCTGATCATCTTCTGGATGCCTCCGACCTTCACGATGTGGATCCTCGGCTCGTATTTGTGCAGAGAATTCAGCATGATCTACAAAAAAAACGACAACCAATCAATGTCACTATGTATCATTAGAGAGCGGGACAAATCTTTCAAACAAGTGAATTTTGATTAGTCGTGAGATGTAACGGACGCTTTATCGAATGTTTCCTTGAATTAAACTTTTCAATTTATAATCCACGTTATTTTTAAATAACAAATTAAAAGAAATCCGTGAAATGTTTATTTTGTAATAAATAACCTCCTTAAATCAATACTTTTTTTCTCGAACGTCCTGCATGTCAAACAGCCTCCTCACCTGTCCGCCTCCGTTCAGTTTGTTGGACAGTTTCACTTTGCTGAAGGAGACGGGCGCTTTCATCCAGTGCGCCCCGAAGTTCGGGGAGTCCGGGTGGATGTACACGCAGCTGGGGCTCTGGGGCTCCGGTTTGCCACCGGGGACCCACTCCCCGTTCACGTATTTCCACCGGTTGTTGTCCGCGGCCACGAAATCCAGCAGCACCGAGTACATGGCGTTGGGGTCCAGGCCGCTGACGCTGGCCCTGAGCACCGGAAACATCCTCCTGGAAAACAACAAGGACAACACGGGTAAGCGTTCGCATCATTTTGGCACAACTCGTTGACAGTTTCATTTGTTTTGTTTGTTTTCATTTTGTAAACCCTCAAAGGCCCGCGGGGTCCTCAGAGCAGCACCTTTTGACCGAGCACTTACGCGCGAGCCACAATGATGATCTTTGGAAATTAGTAACATTAAAAAGAGGATTCCACAAAAGCCCGTGCGTAAAAAGCGCGTAAATATGCCTGGTTTTTCGCGCAAACGGCACCAATTCGGCATCTCCAGGCTGCTGCTTCATTGGACCTACCTTCCGGTTTTAGTGACAATCATCTCGTTCGTTAACTCTTTGAACTTGTTCCACAGTTCTGCATCGTCCAGCGTCAGTTTAATATCCCTCTCGGACGCGTCCCCCTTCTCGCTGCCCTTCTGGAACTCGCTCTCCACGGCGCTGAGGAGATGCTCCAGGCGCTGGTCAGTGTTGGAAGAAGTCATTATTTCCAAGCAGAGCAGATCGATCTAAATCCAAGATTGCGTCGCGCAGGGGCTCACAGAGACACCGCTGAGGGGAGGAAGGCCCGAGTGATACTGCTTTCCAAACCCGCGAGGCCTCATCCTTTAAGGGCCCCCAGGGACCTCATGGGGATGTGGGGCGTGGCCTCTGCGCACACACCTCGCCTCTTTCGCCGGGTTCAACGTCTTCTGAACGCCGCCCCACACACCAGGCCACACCAATATAACTTTTTTTTTTTTAGAATAGAAAAAATAAACTGTTACTTTTTAACATTTCATTTTTTCTCCCCTGAACCAACTAAAAAAAAAAGAAATCAACATTTCACAGCATTTGTGTAAATCACAATAATGCATATGCTGCAGCGTTTGGATGGAACTTTGGGAATTTATAGTCTGATAACTACAAATCTATCACAGCCTCCTGCAGTTGATGCTCGGCTCATTCAACGCTTCTGCGGCCAAACAAAAGAAGGGAAGCGAGGCCACGGAGCCGTGCCTTTGAACTCAGTGGTACGTTCTGCAAATAGTGCCCATCTTTTTTTGTCTCAAATCCACACGTGTTTACTGAGCGTGGGCCATTAGGGTCGACTCTGTGTCCCCGATGCGCCAAAGTGTGGACGGCACACCGGTGATGCCCGGATTTGCATAATGGGCCTGAATGACTCCCTCTGATATTAAACATTTCAGCCAGTTGGAGGCTGAGTGCTCGGCAGCAGCTTTTTCTACTGATTTCTGCTGATCCAAAGCTGTGAAAAAGTCTCTCTGTGTGACGCCGTTCACCAGCAAACCTTCTCGGCTCTACCGGAGGCCTTTAGGGCCGAAAGTGGAATCGTTGCAGCGCATTAAGATTTTATAAACAATACTTATGGCGAGTTTATTCATGTGATGCATTGTTAGTGATTTTACTACCAAACAGGATAAGTTATAAATAGCTTCACCCCGACCTGCATCGACATTAGACATTGATGCGTTACCGTCAGGGAGCATTTTTTAATGTTATGAGCTTATTTTGCTTTCAAACACATTTAATTCTACTTAAGTGAAATGTGTAATTTAAGTTTTTTTTTTTTACTTCAACAGGTTATTGTTTTTATTTGCTGTGTACTCAATCGGAAACTGTGAAATGCAATTTCCCTTTTTTTCTTTTTTACCATTTATTTAATTGAAAACGATTGTTACTTACTTTTCAGATGAACAGTTTACAAACAAACATGATGAGGATTTGAGGAAATGTGCTGATACAAAGTATAAATAAATGAACTCCGCCTCGGCCTGCTGTAATGATTAAAATATTACTTATACATAATTAATAAATAAAAGATACTGAACATCGTATTATATTAGTTGCTTATAGTCTAATTTCATGGAAACAATGTATCTTCCTAGTGTCAGAAAAACAAATTTGACGTGTTTGCACGTCGTTTATTTCCAAATAAAAATGTCCCTCTAACGCTCCCCCATTGATCGTGAGATCGACGATTCACATCTGAGAACTTCTCGCTTTTCTCGCCTGTGACTCGGCAGTCTGTGATGTACTTGGAATTGAGTGAGAGCTTTGGTGCGCGACTCCTCTTTACTACGCCACTTCCTCCAGCTCCACAGAGGCCATAAATGTAAAGGGGTTCTCTCACACCTTTCCATCCCGTATCATTCAGCAGTCTCTTCCTTCTCCCCCCGAGTGAGTGTGTGTGTGTGTGTGTGTGTGTGTGTGTGTGTTTCTCAGTTTTGGAGGCTGAGAGAAGGACACAGAGTGTTAAAAAAAAGCGGCTGCATACAGGACAGAAACCCCCCACCCGGCGGCCCCCTCCGACAGACAGACGGCCTCATGACTCCGCTTTATGATTTAATTCGCTCACCGGGCCCGGTTGATAAATCGGGGCGGCTGCAGCTGTAACGAAACGCTCCTGTTGTGCGTGTTGTGTTCGTCAGGTGTTGCCTGGCGAGAATTATTTAAAAGCACGAAAAAAAACAACACGGTCGACATCTCGGGATTTTGACCTCTGGAGGCCCGAAACCGAGGGGGCAAGGAAGGGAGCGACCTCCCATCCCGCGCGGCGAGACAATGTCTGTTGGGGGAGAGAAATGAAGTTTACCCAGTAGAGGTTCCCCCCCCCTTCCCCCCCTCCCCCAAAAAAGCCTTTTGGGCGCACCGCCGTTGGCGCCCGGCGAGCCGAGGGTTAAGCCATGCAGGCCTCGCTCTGGCATCGGCACACACTCACCTAGGTGAGAAATATTACAGAGGTCTGGTGCTTCACAAAGGGACAGTTATAACCGTGCATATTTTCCAGAGGAGTTCGCCGGCCTAAATAGGTAAACACGAGTGGGCGGATGAGTCAGTCCTGGGAAGAAGAAATCCTCACACACACACACACACTCAGTCTTTTTTGGGGGGGGGGGGGATTATGACATAAGCGGGTTACTGAACCAAACAAATACAATAACTGAAGCTCCAAGGACCCAAACAGAGGAAGAGGCGTAACGCGTCTAATAAAGGGTCTGATCATGAAGTGATGGATCATTGAGAAGACGAGCGGCTCGTGGGGTAAAACACACGTAGTCGAGGGGAGAATCAAACAGAAGATGGGTGCGCTGTGGTTTACGCGGCGTTATGAAATCACCACCACAGAGCTGAACAACAGGTGGACACAAACTGTAGAGAAGTCAGGTGACGTGGGATTAAACGCGTGGAAACGAGGGAAAAGATGTTTTCTACGTTTCTAGCAGTCTCCTGAAAGTTTAACTCTAGATTTGGATCTAAAATCTTTTTTGGAAGGTGGTTGATAAAACCAAAGTGTTTTCTTTCATGTTTGATTTCCATACTTTTTTTTTGTTTCTACAGCAGTCTTTTGGGGGGAATCATATATAACTCTTTTTCTTTCTTTTCTTATATAAACCATATTAGTAATTTTGGTATTCATGAGTCGGGATGGTTTTTATTTTCCAACTTGTGCTCTTAGTAATATCTACATATTGCATGTTATTGCTTTTTTGACCATAAACGCACACATGTACATATACACACCACATATATATATATATATATATATATATATATATATATATATATATATATATATATATATATTACATATATCTTTAAATATCTATATAAGTATATATAAATATATATATGTGTGTGTTTGTCTTTGGCTTATTCGCAGGTGTTTTTACGCGATTTCTGTGTTTTACAGAATTTGACAATTCCTTTAAAAGTTGTATTGCTTGTTGTTTGATGTCGTTGTGGGTTTTTACGGTTCTGTCTCACGGAGCGCCACCGTGTCTCTCGGGCCGTGATTTGGACAACTCGAGAGCGGATTGACTGCCTGCTCACAATCACCTGAGTGCTGAATGTGTCCGAGTACATACATCACGCGCTCCGCTTTGTGGCGGTGAGTCGATAAAGGCCTAATAAAGATTGATTGAAACGTTAAAAGTTAAAAGCAAAGGTTCGTGCGAGATTTTCAGACACAGCCGATATTTTGCTCTTGACAAGGACACAAACAATCTCTTGTGTTCGGTTTAATCCTGTAAATATGTTGGGTGTGTAAATATAAAGTTAGCATTAGCCACCATGAGCTACTGCAAAACGCCCTCTAGTTACCATTCGCATTATGAATCAAGCTTTTCGTTTGCGTGTTCATTGTGTGCACATGACACCCGTCGCGGACGGATCCCTCCTCTGTTACTCTCCCGGAGGATTTCATTTTCTGGGGGGGGTTTCTTCCTGTTCCGATGCGAGGGTCCCGGGCCAGTGGAAGCTATTTGCTGTTAAGGTTGAAAAGTTCTCTGAGAGGAAACTGGGATTTTGGGCTTTACAAACAAATAGAATAAAAGGAAAGTTGCTTTTAATAAAAGTATTTAAAAAGATTGTAAAAACATGCCTTGCAACTTACACTAGTAAGATCTTTGCATTAACTTTAAATTAGTACTGATGGTTTTTAAAATAAAAGTAAAAGTACTCATTGTAATCTCGTATAGGAAGTTTCATAGTGATGCATTGTAATCAGCATAATTTTTAAATTCAAAATCTTCACATCACGTCAGATTAAAGTTATAATAAATCCCTCTGAAATGTGGTGAATTAGAAAGTAGACTAAACTGCGAATACTCAAGTTCAGTTTACCGGTTAAATATATCGTAGCGTGTGTTATGATGTACCTCTGACCTTTGACCTGCGTTACATTTCATAAAGAGGAAGTTACTGTGTGTGGTTTTTATGTAAATCTTAAACTGTAGCTGTCGCATTGTGTTCGGGTGAGGACAGAAAGACAGAGCGGGGGAAACAACCCTCAAATCCCATCGTAAGGCCACCAATAAACACACACACACACACAGAGCCCCCGCCCTCCCTGATGTGGATTGAGCCCTGAGCTTCGTCTGTCACTTTTGCGTTTCCACTTCAAGTTCAGGAAATCTAAACTTTCCTCTTCTAATCACCCGTCCCTTTGAAAGGGATAAAAAGAATTAGTGGCCACAGTAATTGCCCCCCCCCCCCCCCCTCCCCCGTCAGCCCCCCACAGGCCCTCATCTAGGCGCCTTACAGTAGACCTTGGGACCTTTGGCATGCTAATGGCAGGAGGCTGAGCTTTGACGCTACAGGGGCCGACTCAGCTGTGGAGGAGCAGAACTGGCGAGGAGGCCACGGGGAGGACGACCTGTTAGGACGCCTCCGGGATGAACAATGTAAATCACCAAAAAAACGCAGCTGCCCCCGCGTAGGGCCGCCCCTGCGTCATGGCGCAAGGCGTTGGCGATATGAATGAGTAAAGGTTTCAAACACGTCGGGAATCGATGATTCGTGTGAGAGGTTTGATTAGAATCCTGGATGAACTTTTGAATTTGCTCCCCTGAGTAGAAGAACATAAACGGCTCGGCTGGACTGGAATTAAAAAAAATAATGCCCCGAGATAAATAAAGTAACATAATTCATTAGTTTGACACCCAGAGGTTTTCTCATCAAAGAAGATAAAACATACGACGATTCTACGATTTCCAAATACATTTGATGCTTAATCACATTTCAGGCACTAAAGGTGCAGCTCAGGTAAATGATCAATTCTGTACAATAAATACGGAAAACCACCCTCACTGATTCACCC